CTGGGAAAAGGTTTGATGGTCGTCAAATCGGGAGGTGTGAGCAGTCACCTCCAATCCTTTCATGGTAAGGTTCCAAATTATAGAAAGTGATAGATTCCAGAAATCCTAAAGATTTCCAAATCATGGAGAGAGAATTTAAATCCTACCAATTTCAAATGATAGAGAGAGAAATTTGGAGACTACTGAATGATCGATGGAGAACTATGAGTTTCTCGGTTATGACGGTAGAGGAGCTATTCGTTCTTTGTTCTTCTTTGGGTTTAGGCGAACTAGGAAAATCTGAATGTTATCCCAAATTTTTAAGTATTTTAAAATGTATACATTGTTTTGGGGTTCATATAAGGTTTCTAAAGTATTAAGTTTCCGCTGTGAATCTTGAGAACATCCTTCAATCCCTAAAACTTTCAACCATTGTAATATGTCAAACTCCTTGCTCAAGGTTTATTGTTCACCGACCCGGCCATAAATAACATAGGCGTACGTTCCAGGTTTATTATGGTATGGCTTATGTGCGATACTAACCTTAGATGAGGCTTTGACCTAAAGGGTTGAGTTGGTAGTTTTAGTTGGAGGCATGTTAGAATTTTATTAAGTGTTCTCATCGCGGGTCAGAGTATATATAACTCTTATATATTATTGTTGGTGGGGTTTGTAGTATTTTTAAATTTTGTTTTGTACTCCAAGACTACCATGTACAGACGAGGGCTAAACATGAAACACCATTGGGTAGGACCATTTTAGCAATTAAGCCGTTCTGAAATCCAACAACCCAAGAGGCATTTCAAACCATATTCCCCGTACCGTAAGTAGCCAAAAAGTAGTGTAATTAGTATTAATAATACTTTTTATTATAAGCTAGTTGCTATAGTTTTATTCCTCTTTCGAGGATACGAGTTCTCTATAGCCAATTTAGCTTTGATACCAATCTGTCACACCCCCGGCGGAGGCGGCGGAACACGCCGGGCTATGCGACTAAGTTCATGGATCACAGGTAAACTAAATATACAACACAAGTACAACAATAAACAAAATAACATTCGCGTTCCATCTTGATATTTGAACACACGGTTTTTACAAATAATAATAATACATGAATTGCCTTAACATGTAGGCATATAATACAACATAAATTAAACTAGGTCACTTGTAATCCAATCTGTCTTGAATGTCTGTTTAGTGATTTCCTGAGAATACATGTAATTTTGAAGGTCAACACAAGGTTGGTAAGTGTTACAGGTTTTCTGCTAACAATAGTAATACTTTAAAAAGTCTAAAAAGTACTTTATTTATAAGTAAACCATATTTAAATAAGCTTTGAAAAATCCAAACAATGTCTTGACATAAGTAATTTCATGCTTAAAACGATTTTTAAACGAACCAAGTTTAAAAGTTATGGTGAGAAGGAGAGAGAGAGAGAGAGAGAGAGAGAGAGAGAGAGAGAGAGAGAGAGATTCGAGTTAATGTTTATAGTGAGTCCTATAACCGAGCTATGCGACTTGAGTGTACCCGACTACAACGTTTCATTGGACGTTGCAGTAAAAATTGTAGACGCCTATCACCCGCTTCGATTGATCAGTCGAGGTTGTAGCTAGCAACCGCAGGTGGGGATGTCAACCCCATATAGATATATACATATGTATCTCGCTTCGAAGATTAACGGTTATAGTAGTGTGGGTTTGCTAAGTGGTTAGACTTAGGCCCCGTTTGATAGTTTCTGTCTGATAAAGTGCTATATGGGAAAGTTTTCTGACTAGAAAAAAAAGCCATGTTGTTTGATTGTATATCTGATTGACTGTGCTGAATGATGAAAAATGATAATATTACCCTGTTGTTCTATACTGTGATGGATGAAGTTGCTGAATAATTATAATCATACAATTTGTCATACAAAATCAAAATTACACAATAATCATTTAAAAATCCAAAATAGAATGTCGATTAAGTTGTTTTTAGTTTTTTTTTCAAGATGATGTTACGCTATTATTCTTCTAGCAATTTTAATTTTTTTTATAACTCAACATGTGATTCTTGACCCGGTTTATATCTGATAGTGGTGAGATGGATGAATTTTTTTAAAATATATTAGGATGATGGTGTAATCCCAAAAAAATAAGAATTAATCCAACAAAAATGAATTCAAAAAATTAACTAAAAGAAATTAATAATCCAATAGAGTAATATTGATTAATATATAAATATTATATATTTATATAGAATATTTTTTTAATATATAATAATCCAATAAAACGAATTAATCCATTAAAAAGAAATAAAAAAGAATTATTTAAAGAAATTAATAATCTAATAAAATAATATTAAATAATACATAAATATTATATATTAAAAATAATAGTTATTAATATATAATAATCCAATATAAAAGAAATTAAAAAATTATTTAAAAGAAATTAATAATCCAATAAAGAAAGAGACAAAGTTTGGGGCACAATTGTCTTTCCAGCTAGAAAGATATGGTTTTGGAGCTTTCTGGGAAAGATATATCTTACCAGGAAAGACCCATTTTTTTTGTGCATATCAAACAGTCTTTCCGCTCCATTCAGTCAGAAATGTCTGTTTGGACCTGGAAAGATGTCTATCAAACTGGGCCTTAGCTAATGAATAACGTAGCGTCTCACTAAAAACCCTTAACTAAAAAGTTTGTGAATAACTTTCAACCCTAACTTAATTGTGATTAGGTCACTAGGCATAGTGAATATCATTGTATAATGTTTATAAAAGCCGAGTATGTTATAACGTAGTGTAATGTGCTCGCTTTTATAAAAATGAATGTTTCAAATTAATAAACATATGTACATGTATAAACTTTATGCATATAAACATATAAATATACATGAATAGTAATAGCTTGAATCATTGAAATACTACAAAGTGTTATAACGTGCTTGTCATAATATACAATGTCAAATAAAAATCGTATATTTTTGTATTATGTAACATTTATCATGTGGACTAGTTATTTCACGATAAAAATTCCATAATATGTATACGAAAAGTTTATATTAGTTATTTGTAAAAATACATTAAATTTTTAAATAACATTTTTATAAACTAGATTTATTTTATTTTCGCATAAAGGATAATATATTTGTATAAACAAAATATATAGGCACATGTATTCCCCCCTGAAATAATTAAAATATTGAAAAGGGGCCATAAGCGCTTACATTCATAGCGTGAGTTCCAATCGTTCGAATTCGATTTCTTTGAGAAGCCTGACGTGAGAAACCGTAACTCCATAATTCTTGAACTTTGAAATACTCTCGGGACCATTTCGTAACAAATTTAAACTGTTGGGGTCTGCTTGGTAGTTTCACTAAAGTATAGCGGCTTTTTGGTAATTTATTAAAATAAATAGGACTGCTTTGGTAAAGAAAATACCAAATGAGGGGATGTTAAACAAATGGATTCAAAGATTAGGGTTTAGACTTATTTTGAATAAGTATTTTGGTAGGGAGGGTATTTTGGTCATTTCCTAATTTAATTAACTTGGGGCTTATCTGTGATTAGACTATCCGGAGTGGAGGGAGCTCCACGCGTGAGATGCTTACGTGGAGCCTCTTTCCACGCGTGAACACCGCCCCCACCCCGGTGGGTTGGGCTTTGCGTCTTCACGGAGACGAGAGAAGACGGAGGAAGTGATTGGTTGATGCTTTTTTACCGTTAATTTCGTTGGTTTTTCTTTTTAATCCACCGAGTTAGAAGAAAAAAAAAAGAAGAAAGGGATGGACCCGTTTTACAGAAGAAGTCGGGTGAAGAAGACAACCCGTGGACATTTTATATGATTTAATTCAACTTACATATTTGGTCCCTGATATTCTGTCATTTAATCCTATTATACCCTTTCACTTTTATTTGAATTATGTTAAACCCTTAACTATATATAATTAATTATATTTATTTAATTTTAAAAATTAGTAAGATGTTTATTTGATTTTTTAATTAGTAAAATGATTACTTAAGTTTATAATAATGTTTTTTTTACTTAATCTAATGTTTTAAAATTAAAAAAAAAAAATAAGTATTGTTAGTGGTGACCATTTTCTAGGTACAGCGGGTTGGTGATGGAGGTGAATATTGTTAGAGGTGACGTAGCCTGGCACCGTAGTGACCACTTAGTGTATCATCGGGCAACAAAGGTTGAAATAGAACAACGAAATAGTGGGGAAGAAGAACCCATCTACGCCGATTCTTTGTGGGTCCTCTCCCGTTGTCGACAGCCCCAAAGCAGCAGCGGTGGCGGTCAAAAGCGGAGGCCGATCAAAGGGACAAGGCAAATTGGCGATGGTCCGGTACCTCGAGATAGGACGAGTCGGAAGGGTTGAAGGCTCGGTGATTGTTCATCCGTTCGAAGTCAAGAAGGGAAAATCGGAGGCTCAATCGATCGGGGAGAAAATATGAACGAAGCAAGGTCGATTGGAATGGGAATGAACTGAAGATGGCGAGAAGGACGAAGCAACGGGTGCTGCATCGAAGGTTTTGGGTCGATTGCTCGTGAGGGAGTGTTTCCAGGGATAGACGAACCGAAGAAGAGGAAGGAAAGGGGAAAGCATCGAAGGTGCTATGGTCTTTGGTGGGTGCAGTTTCCTCTGGTGAGTTCTTCATCTCCATTTCTCCCTTTTTAATCGTCACCTGTTTGGGTCAAGAACAGCAACACCGGTTGCCAAGGGAGGCAGGGGAGGGTGCGACGGGGTCAGACAGGGGGTGCACTGGTAGCTCGTCTGTGGCTGTTTTGGTAATGACTGGTCGAATGCTCACAGTATCAGCAATCGATCTAGTTCGGTGGTTTAGTTGCAGTCATCGATCAACAGTTACAATTTTTTTTTTAATGTTTAATGGTAATGGAATTTGGGTTTTGATTTGGCGGAATTTGATACTCTCAAGTGGGTGTTTGGCTTGCTTACTCAATAAGAGAATGGGAAAGAAGGAGGGAGGCTTGAAGTCCCATTGGTTTGATTGATTTCTCAAGAACAACACCTTCAATGGAGGTGTTCTTGAACGAGATGAAGAAAAAAAGTTTGTTCTATATCTTTAATCATTGTTTCAAATTGTTCTATTGTCACTGAGAATTTATTTGTATGTAGCTTAGTATAAGAATAATTGTATAGATATCTTGTATATGTGTAGAGTGTATGGTTGGATGTTAAGTGAATTGTGGACTGTTGAATATTGACAGCAAGAGAAGGAGAAAGAAGAAGACAGTTGGCAGGAACAAGGAAAGGGAAAGACCAAAGCAACAACAGTGGTGAGGAGGAAGATGGGAAGCAGAGATCAGTAGCAGTGCTTTTGAGTGTTCGGTTGAACAAAAATAACTTAGAAGTAATTGGTTGTATAATTTATTTATTTATTTGTATTTGGTAGATTAAATAAATGTATTTGTGTATGTATTGTTGAGAATTTTTATTGTTTTTTTATTCATGATATATATACTAGCCGTTTACCCGTTTCAAGCTATTAGCCGTTTACCCGCTCCAAGCTATGAGTGTCAATAATTTTTTTCGAAAATTAATTTTAGAAATGATATAATATTTGAAGTATAAACTTGATTTCTATATAGAACATCTTGTTTTTACTTTTGGAAGTAATTTTTTATTTTGGAATACTTGCATCAAAAACACCAAAAATAAAAATGATCTCATGTCCAAAATATGCGGCATAAGTAATTGAAGTAATTATAACCCATTTTTCTTATAATCTAATCTTATAAGCAAAAAAAAAAAGCCCATACATATCTGTAAATTGAATTGAGCTATTACTATAGACAAATAAAATAGTTATATTTTTATACCCATGCATATATTGAACATTGTGAGGAATAATTTGTGTACATAAAAGGGAGATTTTGGGGTTGTAGTATTTTTGTTTATATGGATGAAATGATGGAAACGAAACGAGTAAGAGGAAGCTAAAAAGATGATGGGTCAGACTATATGTTTGTAGCACTTTTAGCACCTGTTTGTTTGGCTCTTAATGCCTCTAAAAAAAAGGCATCTGTGAATCTTACATATTCAGAGCGTTTGTTTAGCACTTAAGTTAGCCTCTTAATTGGATAAAAATGTCTGACCGAATCAGATAGAAAATCAAGTCTGAAAAAAAAAGAGCACGCCCTATCTTATCTTTTCCAATCCCTACCCTCTTACCCACTTCTCTATTTTCCTGCGACCATCAAAAAAACCTCCGGCCATCTCTCCCCTACATCTCGTCGGACCTCACTGAGCACTACTGTCGCCGTCCCACGCAACGTCGCACACACCATCGTCGTAGCAGGACATCGTCGCACGCACCATTAACACCATCGACCCTTCTCCTTCCTCCCACCCCCTGATCTGCCTCCCGCTGCCAGCCACGATGTCGTCGCCAGCCCTCGTCAAACTTGTCGACAACATCATCAGGTAATTGTTGTGTATCTGAAATCGACTTTTTTCTAGGGTTAATATCTAAAAACGAATTTCTTAATCAAATTGTAAACACGAGTTATGTTTTTGAATTTCCGGTGAACCACTACCCTCATTCTTTCTCAATTACTTCAAACACTTCTTGATAAGCTAATTGGGGTTTTTATTTCTGGGTGTTGTTAATTTAGGGCGATCGGTTCATACCCAACAGGAGTTTGATGGATCTTGATCAAGCCTACACCCTGTTGACCAACATAACCAATTTTTCTACCGGATGCAATTTTAGTGTTGGTCTTTTTTCCGTTCCAGTTTTTTGTTATGAATTTTCTTCAAAATGTTTCATGTTTGTGTCTTCTGTATTGGTTTTTGCTACAAATTTATGCTATTTAGATTGGAATTCGTCAATGGGTAATCTGGATTGATTCCTTTCCAGGATTGTGATTTATTTTTGCAAATGGGTATTTTACCAGATTTTGAAGATTGATTCCTTTCCAGGAAATGGTCTTGATTTTGGCTGATGGAAAGTTGTTTTGATCGTGAATCATTAGAATCAAATCACATGTTTTGAATCTTTATTGATGACATTAGACAGGGATGAAATTTGGCTTTCACATGGTGACATTAGATAGGGATGAAATTTGGTTGATCAGACTATTGTTATTGCATTATATTTCTAGTGTCTGGTGATAGAGTTCTTCCAATTATAGCATTCTGTGTAGCTCATGTTTGCTATAGTTGTATGTGTTTTCATGTGTTGGATTTTATAGGGTGTTTAGATTTTATATGGTGTTTATATGTTTTTATAATTATTTAAGAAGTTGGTTAAATTATTTTATAAAATAGAATTATTGAGTTTAGCAAAAAAAATAATACAGTAGGATAAAATGGTTATTTTCATTATTCAACACATGAATTCAAAGGTTTCAACCAAACAGCTTGTTAAAAATTCAGATCTTAAAAATTCAGATCCTTTTAGAAATTCAGACCTCTTAAAGTTTCAGTTCTTAAAAATTCAGATCCTGCCAAATAGCCCCTTAGGCCTATTCATCATTTTTCTTTTAAATTTCAAATTATCATTTAAAATAAATCATTATCCTTAATTTTAAACATTAATATGGATAACCACCAAATCAACACATTATTATATTATATATATATATATATATATATATATATATATATATTAAAGGAATGTGAGCTTAACAATAGTGAACTAGCCAATTGTAGTGAACTATGCCCCTGTTTATGACTTTCGTTGCAATTTCGGCTTGGTGTACATTTTATGGAAGAGAAATTAAATTGTCTCCTACATTTTATGTCTATAAATATTCCTATCCATTATTATTATGACATGTGTTACCATTACATATTTATTTAACTATCTCATTAAGAGTATATTAGGAATATATCAAATAAAATTAAATTGAATGGAGGAATAATGACACGTGTCATAATTTAATGGGTATGAATATTTGTAGATATAAAATGTATGAGGCAATTTAATTTCTCTTTATGGAATTATGTATATTTTGTTTATCATCGTTGCTGACTGTTACCACAGGGTTTTTCGTTTTACTTCCCGATCCTTCCAGCGTCTTCCTTTTATCTCCCACCGTTTCTTCATCTCTATCCTTCTGGTGACTGTTTCTCTTTTGAAGCGATTGAGCACCGCCATCACCACCGTTTTCTTCGGTACCTGTCCACAGTCTTTAGGGTTGCTTTTCACCATCGCTCCTCTAAACATCTCTCAAAGCGGCGATCTCCCTCGTCCGTCGACGCACATACATGGAATGATGAAGGCAGCGAGAAATGTACCCACGACGATGTTCACGTACTCCATTATAAACAATGACTCCTCCGGTTCCTTTCTTCCTGGCTTCAATCCATCGCGTGTTCTCAGGTATGTCCAACACACCGTTTCGTTTGACATGTTTTGATTTCTGGTGCTTTCTTTCCATTTCGAGGGAAAGAACAGGTCACTATCTCTGTTAATGATTTCGTTCTTCATCTGCTAATTTCATTGATTTCTTTTGTTTACCGGAGGTGTTGGGTTTTTTAAGAATTACTTTTCCGGTGAACCTTTAAACAGGTAACACCACCACCGCTCCACCAATGCTCCACGTTCCGATGATTAAGTTGTGGAAGGAAGTTGATCAAAGATAAGTAGGAGAATCTGCGAGACTACATCATCCAAATCCCTAAATCCCCTTTCATATTAAACCCACATCTCCGCCTCCTTCCTGATTTCGATTGTTGATGAGGCTTTACGCTTTTGTCGATGACCAGTAGAAAACTCACCGACTTCTAGAGCCTTCCCCGTTTGCCAACCGTACCTCCACCACTACCACCAATCGTTCGACATTTTGGACTGCCACAACCGACTTAATGGATCTCCCAGACAAGGTTTGCTACGATGGCTCACCACTTGCTATTTGCCTGTGTGATTGGGTAAGTTTCAAAATTATCTACATGGTTTGAGAAAGTGTTCTACAGCGTCTTTCTGCTCCATCGATTGCTTCCCAACGCTCGAATGACCTGAAGCTCCATGATTTCCCGTCTTCCGCGTCAGGTCTCCAAAGACGGTGAAGAATATAAGGGTATATGGTCACTATACGTATGTGTGTGCGCTCGCTTTGGTTTAGCAAACGATGTACTTCAGTTGTACCCTAAATACAGCTTCCGTCTGATGTCCACCATCATCCTCCACATCCAGCGCCATTGCCGAATCTGTATATCAAAAGTAAGCTTTTGAATTTCACGCCATTATACACTCACTTCAACCTACACCTCAATCGACACCTCCGCCGAACACACACACATAGTATATATACGAACCTCATAAATTCTACTTTATTTCCATATCATAATCTTTTTTTACCCACCAAGTATCAATCAATCAATGGGTGTATGAAGCGAGATATAGGATACTCTATGCTCGCGCTCCAGGTTATTCCTCTTAAAGTTCACCGATTTTTTTTATTGATTGATTATGAGTTACTTTTGAATTTAATTCGGAAGCACATTGACTAATGACTACTGCTCGGAAATTGGAACAAGAATCACAGCTCATTGAACGCAATATATTCTTTATAAAGTTTATATGGAATTGATTGTCTTCTTATCAAGAAGACAATTTAAGTTGGTAATTGTCTTACATTTAATTGATGGTTATCAAGCTGTTTTAGATTGATGATATAATGAATCTTTGCAACTCTTAAATTCTAAATGCAACTCAATTAAAAGATTGACCATTTGAAAAAAAACATTTAACTGCACATTAAAGACGAAGATTTTTTCATAGTAAAAGTTGTTAATGTTTTGTGAATTTATCACTTAATGTCACACCTCCAAACCAAGGATGGCGGAAACGTACGGGGTGGAGGATTTCATGTATAGTATCACAACAACGAGTATAATAGTGCTCAAAGTAAGAACAACCAACATAAATATAATTGAAAAAGTTACACCATAGTATGAGTTTACATGTTTCTAAACCAATTACATTATGTTGACAAAATGAAATGTTTAACGCCTTAGCGTTCCATCCTCAAAAGCCGCTGATTTCCTGTTTTACTGATTCCCTGAGAATACAAGTAGTTTTGAAAAAGTGTCAACAATTAAGTTGGTGAGTTCATAAGAGTTTTATTTGATAAAGATGTCATTTTCCTTGTAAAAGCGAATGAGTATGATTCCAGAAAATCCAATATTTTCTTTATAAGATGAGTAAGGAAAGCTCCTATGTTATGCGATAATGTACCCTAGAAGGACCCATAGATTTCCTCTATAATCACCCAGTGTATATAAGTTATATAAAATTTAAGTAAAATAAACTGTCGAATATAATGGGTCTGCCCTAGGTCCACAACCAAACAAGGAACAGGAAGTAAGGCGGGCCCACCAATTCTAAGTCGATCGCAACTAAATCCTTATATAACTCTGACATATACACTTAGCAATTATAACCGGAAACTAACAAATTCTAGATAGATTGTAGTTCTAATATCATAAAACCATTTCGTGTAAACCCGGTACTTTGTATTTGTACCCCTTTGTATAGACCCGGTACTTTGTATTTGTACCACTTCTATATGAAAACTCGGTACTTTGTATTTGTACCCCTTTGTATAGACCCGGTACTTTGTATTTGTACCCCTTCTATATGAAAACCCGGTACTTTGTATTTGTACCCCTTTGTATAGACCAGGTACTTTGTATTTGTACCCCATTCTATATGAAAACCCGGTACTTTGTATTTGTACCCCTTTGTATAGACCCGGTACTTTGTATTTGTACCCCTTCTATATGAAATGAGAACCTTTCGTAATGAGTTTGAAATGTAATTGTAACATAAACTATACCTATTATAGTCTAATATAACGTTTGTAATGCATATGCAACCTAACTATACCTATTATAGTTTAGCATATTTGTTTGTGGTGTATAATAGGCTTTACTATGCCTATTATAATTTATTAATATTATTTGTAGAGGTAGTAACCCCTTGTATATGATTCGTACCTTTAGACTAGGGTAAATAATATATACTATCAACAAAATGTGTATATATATAATAACACACACCTTGCTCAACAAGCTACAAGGTGCAAATGAAATTGTTAACCATTTTCTAGTTTTAACCTTGTTGTTCCTTTCTTACAAAAAGCATAGAAAAATCATTTGAAGTCAAAATCAGAATCCGTAAATTCTGAGAGCTTAGAAAATGTGTCTATTTTATTCATAATTTTTATCATGATTTTTAGTGACCTTTAACTTGTGTACAAATGTCCAACTTCACAGACTGGTCCGAAGTGGTTTCTGAAATGATAGGCTGTTTTGTAAAAATCACCATAAATTGTAGAAAAATCGTGTGGAGATGTGCAAGTAGTCATTTTAAAGGCATTAACCTGAATTATTTGCATATTAAACAGTTTTGGAAAATAAAAAGTTTATGAAGGTCAAAACAGTCCATGAATGGGACTCAACTTTCCTGTTGAAAGCTGATGATTGAATTTAAGTTATATTATGGTGATTTAACTTGTATTATTCCCCCCCCCCCCCCCCCTAAAACTTGAAGAAAACATGAAAATGTAGGGGTATGAACTCACCTTGTGTGTTCTTAGTGGATGGATGTTGAAGAAAAGAAGTGTTCAACTCAAGAACACTTAGAAGATGTCTTGAAGATTCGAAGATCTAACACAAATATGAAGGAATTTGTGTAAGAAATCTATGATTTGAGTAGAAAGGAGTGAAATGATCATATGGAGGATGATAATACTTACCAAAAGTAGAAGAAAAGCTTGGAGAATAGCCTTGAATCTCTAAATTTTAGAGAGAGAAAGTGAGAGAAAATGAAGTTTGTTCTTTGGTGGAAAATGAGAGGAATGAGAGATATGTGTGGAGAGAGGAGGGTTTTTCCAGCCCTTGACCAAGTGTGTGGCTGGAAAATGGTGGGAAAAGTACTATGGAATGACTAGGTATGCTGGAAGGACAAGGGTTGGTCATGGAGTGGGCATGGGGTGGTTGCTTGTGTCATACACTAAAGCAAAGTCAACACTCCACTAATAATATCCCACCCACTCTTCTTGGATAAGGATTATACCCCAAAAACGTGATTAATTATGAAATAAGGGGTTCTATATGTTAAAATATGATTTTGGGTGAAAATCCCACGTTAAATAATTAAAAACGGACTTAAAATGCAAAACTAGTCGAAAACCGGGTGAATTTGGCCTACATGCGAGACCTCTCGGTACTGGGCCGAGGTTCGGTCCCTACTGCTGCTGGGCCCGAAGGCGAAATGGAGCGAAGGTGGAAGGAGCGAAGGCGAAGGGTTCGGTCCGAAGGGGAGGGTTCGGGTTCGGCTCGCAGGCAGCTTCGGGTTCGGTTCTTAGCAGGTCCGGTCCCTATAGGGGACCTTCGGCTCTAAGAGGGTTCGCCCCTTAAAGAGGGGTTTCGGGTCCTTAAGGCTATTTTACCCGTTTTTACCCAGTTTCAAGCGGTTTTTGACCCGGTTAAGGGTCGGGATGACCCGAAAGACTATAAAAAGTTAAAGGAACTTTTGAGAGAGATTTGAAAGAGATTTGGGAGAGATTTCACATAGTTGGAGAGATTTCTCATACTTAGAGAGATTTGGGAGAGATTTCACATACTTGGAGAGATTTCTCATACTTAGAGAGATTTGGGAGAGATTTCACATACTTGGAGAGATTTGGGAGAGATTTGAGGTAGAGAGAGAGATAGAGTGAGAGCGGTTGAGAGAGACTATGTTTGTGACCTTTTTGAGTGTTTGGCTTCGTAACGCAAGGTTCGTACACCCCGTTAAGCCATGTTTAAGGATCTTACACACTCCCGATGAGTATGCAATAGTGTTTTATCGCTTTGGTTCATTACTTACCACAGTTATAGGTTAAAGAAATCTAGATATACAAACTTTTCAATTGATGATTTCTCATTAGAATAGCGAGTTGTACATATATTTCATAACGTAAACCATAGTATACAAGGGTTAGTTGAGTTGACCGGTTTGACTTGTTGACTTTGTTTGACTTTGACTTAAGCAGAATTGCTGCAGAGGCGACCAGTATTAACAGGCAATCTCAGCCTACGATCCATTTGGTAATTAAAGACCCATTTTCTTTTTTCCTAATTGATTCTACTATCACATTTATATTTATACGTATAGATTTCGTATCCACAACAAGGTCGACGAAGCTTCATTGACCAAAAAGTATAAATTCTCCGATTATTGCTTTTTAGGAGCAAGGCGCGATTGATGCCTTTTGATTTTTCTTGACACCGTTTTCATGATTACGTGTCATTGCATATGTTGTATAGGCTTACTGTGGTTGCTATGTATCTAAAATATTTTAACCTGGTGTGGAATTGGCTTCATGCTTTCGTATTTCCTTGCAAATGATTTTCGATTTGTGCCCTGTGCACTGGAAACTTCGTGGTTCAGGTTTCACCTAATTTGGTTCAGGTTTTCACTTGATTCTAAATTTTGTAGATCATTCTTACATCTACGAACATGGTAGTGGTTAAAAAATTTGTGTAATGATTCATGTGGTATGATAGCATTTGAAGTTGTAATAATATACTGTTGAGATGTTAAATACTGTTGAGATGTTAAATACTACATTTATTAGTCTTTTTTATTTTAATGGTAATTATCATTGAAAAACCATCAAAAACGAATATTTAACAAAAATTATTATTATTATTATTATTATTATTATTATTATTATTATTATTGTCTTATTTTCACCAAAGATCTTTAGGAAATTAAAATAAAATATGGTTCTCATTCACTTTATCTTTTTTATGTTTGCATTATATATTCTAATAAAAACAACAATTTTCATGTGTTTATTATGCATTATTTTTTAATTTGAAGCCCTTACATTCCACTTTGAATATATTTTCATATCTCTAAACCAAAATAGATGCTCCTTAGGGAAGATTGACATCCACATTTAGAAAAAACCATTACCTTTTATTATTCTTAAGATGATATCCTCACTTTTTTCATCTCCTACAAACCAACTACAAACAAAAATCTAAATTATACATCATATTAATGGAACTTTTGACCATTAACATATATTTTCTGATTATACATGTCCAAGTAATATGCAAAACGATGAATTGATTAAATTTGCTATTTTCTAGTTAGTAATTACACAATAAAACTACCAAAAATAACCCCCCTTTAACCAAGTCCCTCCAACAACCAAGTCAAATTTAAAAATGCTACCTGGCATTCCATTATCGGCCTAACAAACATGTAAAAGAAAATAGATTATTTACAAAAATAAGTTAATAAGATAAAACAAAATAATGTGTATATATATTAACTTCAAGACTTGATAGTATCGACTAATACAATTGTTAAGATGTAAAACAAATCAAGTTGACATCTACCAGAAATTATAAACATTTGCATCCTATAAGTTAATAGTGATTGCAAAGGGACATACATTGATTAAAAAAACAGAATAACAAACCTCTAGGATGACTAAATGAATCAAACAATGAATGAATACCAATAATAAAGATTGAGGCGAATCAATGTCTAACTTGCCACTCATCTATAATATTTTATTGTTTTTAGAGTAGTACCTCTTGTTCCTCAAAAGTTGGTAGAATCTATACCAAAAAGCGATATATTATATTAGTGAATTATGATAATACATTTCAAATGAACACTATGTTGTGAGATATTCATAATAAATTTATAAACTTGATTAGAACTTCTACTCATGTGGAATCAATCTTTTGAGATATATGTCAACAATTGCCAATTTCTAGCCATTAATGCCAGTTTTCATTAGCAAAAGGCAGAAAAGGGGGCCAGTGAGGAAAACATAGAACAACCAATCAAAAAGGTGGAATGAGTAAGTATTATAAAGTAGGTCACATCATAACAGCTCAAATTGAAAAATGAAGTTATTGGCATTGGATCTCATATGTTCAAGAAACTACTTTATGCATCACACTCTTGTACCTTCCATTGGTGATTTACCTGAAAAGGGTGATGTTTTTATAAATCCTTTAGCGTTTCAAGAGACTGGTGTGATTCTTGAACCAAAAAGTACTTCAAATCTAGGATTCATGTCAATTCTGTTGAGATACAAAACAATGTAATATGAATAAGGTATTCCCACTATCAAAATACTATGTAATCAGGACTCGATTTCATAACCATGGAGACCCACAACAAAATTATACCACATATCCAAATAATCACCAAAACCTTACAATTGTTATGCTTCATCTTCATATGAATTGCCAGATGAGGAAAGCCAGTCAACATCATTTCATATATACACCAGTAAATGTAGAATGCCAGGCAACACAAAATGATGCAAAAAACGATATAAATTAGAAACATAAAATGATTCAGGAAATTGATAACTAACAAAAATCATATGAAACTGCAAAACAGAAGGTTGAAATTGTGTAGAAGACGAACCCGAGCAATGTATCGTACATGAATAAAGAAAACGACCTTCTTCCTCGTTTTTCTTTCTCTCTTTCGTATATATCTCAGATCTGCACAAAGAGAACGGTAATTAAAGTGATTTAGCTCATTCATATGTTAGAAATTCGGATTTTAAGTAATAAATGTAGTGTATAGAATCAAATTAGACGAACAACTTGAACAACTAAAATTGAGTATGAGGTAGAGAGAGAAAGAACCTGAATGAATTTAGGGTATCAAATCCATCAGTTTAGGGTATATTTACTGATATTCAAAGGAATTTACAAATTAAAACCAGAAGCTTGAATCAATATAGATTTAGGGCTCATCTGTGAGAACCATACCGTAGATCTAAATCGGTGGTAAACGAAGAAGAAGAAGAAAGTACTGATGCATTTTATGGTGGTTGTGTAAGTAGATGTTGCGACGATGGCAGCAGTATAGAGCGGTGAGTTATGGTGAAGGTGATGCTGAGTGTGAGTGGTGTTAGACATGAGATTATGGCGACTGCATCGATGGTAATGGCGGCGATGGTGAGTGGTGTTGGTCACTGTCTACTAAGAGAGAGGGGAAATATGAGAAGGTGGTGTGGTGCCGATTAGCGGATGAAGCAAAGATGGTGGTGTATGGTGATGATGGCTGAGACTTGAAGGAGGGACACTAAGGTTTTCTGAATTTTACCACTGGAATATAGGTGATATAGGCCACGGGGAGCCGATGCTTGGGCTTGAAAAATTGGGGATTTGAATGATTCTTCAATATTTTAAGCAAAAATATTAGGTGGATGGCGATTTGAATTAGTCTTTGTATGACCCATTCTTATCTCGTTGACTAAATAAGATTCTAATGCATAAAATGATTGTAAACAGTGCTTAAAGGCTTGTACGACTTAAAATTCAGCATTTGACTAAAAATGCTTTATAAGGTAAAATAGATATATATATATATATCTATATTATATATATATATATTATATATATATTATATATATATATATAGGTTTAGGCTTTATGGAAAACAAAAAACCTTAAAAATCATAAAAATGCATAAAAAAAATACTTAGAGATCACAAATTTTTTTTTTTTGAATTTTTTTATCAAAAAATCGCATCCTTTAACATAAAATCGCTGAAAAAAAATTTGAATTTTTTTTTACAAAAAAATAAAAAATAATAAAAAATTTTGATTTTTTATTTTTTTTCAACGAAATTTTAAAAAAGACCGCGATTTTTTGATAAAAAAATTCAAAATTTTTTTTTGTGATGTCTAGGTATTTTTTTATGCATTTTTATGATTTTTAGAGTTTTTTTAGAGTTTTTTTTGTTTTTCAAATAACCCTTCCCTGTATATCATAAATACCCAAATCTAATTTTTTAATTATTTTTATTGATTTATAATATTTTTTACCATTTTAAAGCTAAAAAAACATTTGAAATAGACACTTTTGCCCTTGCTTCTAAATTCCAAAATCATCCTCACGTGAACAAATTGAAATCGCAGATGCCTTGCGTCCTGCATCCCTTGCGTCTTCATCGATCAACAATCGCATACAATCGTCGATCAACAATCACACGTCGAACTTAGTTGTTATCGGTTCTCAAATTCATTGCGTCTTGCAGCTTCCTTCCGTCTTGCACTTCCTTCCGATCGCAGCTTCCTTCCGTCTTGCAGCTTCCTTCCGATCGCAGCACACAACATGCTTCTTCCCCCCTGTTGTCGCACACTCACATCATCGCATCAGGTAATGTCGATTTCAAGCTATTCCTATTTTCTATCTCTTCAATTTCGTTTTTAGGGTTCCTAGTTTCAATTGTTCAAATTCTTTTAACAATCAGTTTAGTTATGTTGTATTTGATAGCTTAGTTGTTTTGATTTGAGCTACAATCAGGTTTCCAGTGAACTTCGAACTTTTAATATTTTGCTTGATGCAAATCTGGGGCGCTTTACTTGGTGGTTATAGAATTTACAAGAATGTGGAACTTGCTTCCAAAATTGGTCAAAAGATAGGTGATTTGAATCTTCAAGATGATAAATCTGTTGCTTATTTAGTGCTATTGTCAAATGTGCTTATTTAGTGCTATTGTCAAATGTATATGCTGGTGCTAAGAAGTGGAAAGATGTTGCAAATGTGAGGGAGTATATGGTTAAAATGGCACTTAAGAAGCCTCCTGGAAGAAGTTGGATACAGATTGGTGGATCAGTTCATGAGTTTTTGGCAGGTGATAGGAATCATAATAACCATGATGTGTCTTTGATTTATGAGATGCTTCTTTTAGTCACCATGGAAGCAGGATTAACTGGATACAAGCCTGATGTTTATGAGTCAGCTCAATATTATATAACTCAATAGGTAAAGCTACATTATATGTTCTTGAAATTTTACAAATTTACATACGCTGTGATGCTGTCAAGATCCATATTTTATGGTCACGTTTATATAACAATGTTTGTTGAAAATGCCTTAAATGTGTGTTATATGTTTAACTATTTATTTTTTATTTTTTTTATTCTCTTTTTTTTTATTTTTTTTTTACAGTTTAAGATATGCACAATGGAAACTAGTGTTATGAGTTATGACTTGTTAAGGGGGTAAATTGGGAAAGAAGTTGTTTAGAAGGTGATATATTGAAAGACATGGAAAATGGTGTTTGTCGTCCTTAATTATTATGTTTGACATGTTTCTTTGTTGCTGCTGTTGTAGGTTTGACATCCGAAGCATAAACTATTTGACCAGTTACTAAAGCTAAAGTTGGGTTACAAGCCACAAAAGAAAACGTACTTAATACCCTCAAATTCACTACACCAACATATTGATTTTTAGGGGAGTCTTTGCATTACCTTTACCTGGTAATGAAGGGTTTCCAACATATTGTATCCAAGAGCATTCAATCAATATTTTGATCCACTACTCATCAAATGAAGAGATACAAAAGAAGGGCTAAATTCAAGAAATAGCATCGTACTTTGAGAAATTCATAAGATATAGCATTGAACTTTCTTAATTTTGTAATAGTTAATTACATTAGCTATATTTATGATCTGAGTACTTCTTAATTGTAATATATACAATTTGTGTCCATAAAGAATATATTTGGAATTAATTATAGTTTGATCCCTCTTTTTTAAATTTATCACTTATTACATTTTGGTGCTTATACTTTTTAATTTACACTAATTACTATTTGGTCCGTATAATTTTTAATTTAGCAATTATTACATTTTGGTCCCTGTATTTTAAATTTGCACTTATTACAGTTTGGTCCTTGGATTTTAAATTTGCACTTATTACAGTTTGGTCCATGGTCTTTAATTTTGCACTTATAACAGTTTGGTCCCTGGATTTCATTTATTACAGTTTGGTCCCCGGTCTTTAAATTTGCACTTATGACAGTTTGGTCCCTGGATTTTAAATTTGCACTTATTACAGTTTAGCCCCTGGTCTTTAAATTTGCACTTATGACAGTTTGGTCCCTGGATTTTAAATTTGCACTTATTACAGTTTGGCCCCTGGTCTTTAAATTTGCACTTATGACAGTTTGGTCCTGAATTTTAAATTTGCACTTATTACAGTTTAGTCCCTGGTCTTTAAATTTGCACCATATATACGAATTTGACAACAAATGCAAATTCATGAAAAGAAAATAAATATCAAAATATTTATTTATGTCACATACTAACAAAAAATCCATCAATTAAACCCTAATTAAGAACATTTACAACTTAAGCTAACAAAATTATCAATAGCACCAACTAATTGCACGAGCTTTTTTTATGTAGACCCCGAAACTCCCAAATCACCATGCGATTTTGTATTGTTTCCACGTTTCCTAAAATGAATAAAAAAAATTATTTTCATTGTTAGTATTGTCATTTACTGAAAAAAAAAATGGAAATTTAAGTAACCTTTTAGAGGTGGCTGTTTCACTTTGATCGAAACTTTCAGATGCTGGATTTTTACATGTTTTTTTGACGATGTCCATACTCACCACATCGCGGGCACTTGTGTCTTCTTTTAGACTCATACGATGATTTAATTCTATTTTTTCTTGGTCGTCCAGGTGGGCGTTTGATAATAGGTGAATATATTTTCTCCCCATTTTTTTTGCCCATTGATTCTGTTCGGGCATCAGAGCAATTTGAAAAGCATATGCAGATTTAAATTTCTCTATAGTGAAATAGGGCTCAACATATTTGTCCCAGTTAGCATCCCTTATAAAAGCAATAAAAGCCGCTGCATGTACACATGGTCGACCCTGAACTTGCCACACTCGACAACTACATTTTATTTCATCTAGGTTGACCTCCCAACGTGTTCCCTTGTACTTCACTTCAGCTTGATTCTCACAACTTCTAGTAACTTCATATTCACCCAAGTTCTATATGAAAAATAAAAAACATATATATTTTAGATATATGTATTATTGAAGTAAAAACTAAAACAAATATAGTCATTCAACCTAATTATTTAACATGCTTACCTTAGCGATGTCGTTGAGATGATTTTTAGCAATAGGAACCAATACGCCATTCCATGTATTCACCAAATTCCTTTTCTTATCAAACCGTTTCTTAATCTTTTCCCTAATTGCGTCAAGAAGATCAAGCACGGGTTTATAGCGCAATTTACCAATCCAAGAATTAAATGTTTCTGAAACATTATTAGTGATGTAATCACACTTGGAAGTAGTTCCAAACTTGCTTCTACTCCATATTTTTTTTGCGGTTGGTATTTAGATATGCAATGGCATCTTCATTTCTATCACTAATTTCCTTTAATAACCTGTCATGCTTGGTAGGACGATAGGTTTTCGCAGCAGCCCATAGTTTGGTGTTAAAGAAGTCACCACGAAAGTGTTTCTTGAAGTTGCTATATAAGTGCCTTATACATTCTCTATGCTCAACATTAGGATAAACATTCATGATGGCTACTTCTAACCCTTTCTACATGTCCGATGAGATAACAAGACCATTTGGCGTTCCAATTGATTTTTTGAGTGAGTCAAGAAACCATGTCCATGACTGTGTGTTTTCTGATTCAAGCACACAATATGCTATTGGAAAAATAGAATTGTTCCCATCAATACCAGTTGCAACGGCTAGTACACCATTAAACTTTCCTTTTAAATGACAAGCATCAAGACCAATATACGGACGACAACCAACAACAAACCCTCTAGAACAAGCTGTTAAACAAATAAAAAACCTTTTGAAAAGTTTCTTTCCACCAACTTTGTCAAAGTCAATTTCAACAACGCTTCCTTCATTCCTTTTTAATAGTTCTTCTCTAAATTCGTCCATCTTCATGAAAGAGTCTTCCCACTTAACATACATGTCAGTATAAGCTTGCTCTTTCCCTCTAAAAACTTTTAGGTACGGCACATCAACATTGTAAGTTTTCATAATCCAATTTCTAAGCTCATATGGAGAGACATCCCCATCAGATTTCAACTTGTCAGTTTCTACATTAGCAATCCAACCTTGAGTGGCACGCTTATTGCCACCCTTGTTGCTTCGAGTGCAAGTATGTACTTGTACCATTTTTTTAACCTAACAAAAAAAATTAAATAAACATAAATATATTTTTAATATAAAGCATGTTAATTATAACTTAACGTATACACTTACTTCAAAGGTAACTTCATCTTGTGTAATAGAAGCATGAATTCTCCACTCACATTCTAGGTTTTCGCACCTTGCTGTGAATCGTGTCGGATCACTTTTCTGAATGTAGTAGTTAAACTCATTTGTGACCGCTGTAACGACGTAAATTTTAAAACAATTTTTCATTTTTCAAACAACATAATTATCATTTTAACATTCTCAAATCTCATGTTCAACAATTATCATCAAATAAAACATATCCCAAGATCACAAATAAAATCCTCGGTCTGTGTGTACGGATCATGCCTGCGCCTTCCCGCGATCGTCACTAGTACCTGAAACACATAACACATAACACTGTAAGCATAAATGCTTAGCGAGTTCCCCAAAATACCACATACAACATATATTAGCCACTCTGGGCTATAACTCTGTATGACCCTCTGGTCAAAGTGTCTCAGTGGGACCCTCCAGTCCCATAACTCTGTGGACCCTCTGGTCCTAACTCTATGGACCTTTCGGTCCTAACTCTGTAAACTCTGAATCACATATAGCACATAATCACATAGATATCACATCATACAATAGCATACAACATACTCTGTCACATAACTCTAATTACCACTCTAGGTAAAGTATAGTGAGAAGACTCACCTCGGGTAACTCGGTAAATCTCGAACTCGGTAATACGGGTCTAGCCTCCGCCTAATCACATGGAACAATTACTCTAATCAATACAACTCTCAAAGGCTAGACTAAACCCTCTCTAAGTTCTCTTAGAAGGGTAAAAGACCACTTTACCCCTCCAATGGCTCACAAGTCCAAACATTGACTAGACCCTAAAAGTCAATGGTCAACTTTGATTAGACTCGTCGAGTGCACATAGGTGGCTCAGCGAGTCCAAGCATGTCCTCTGGGTCTATCTAAACCTCACTCGACTCGTCGAGCGAACCTTCCACTCGACGGGTTACCACTGGTCATGAATCGCGGGGCAACCCGACTCGACTCGTCGAGTCCCCTTATGGACTCGGCGAGTTCCTTCCATGGCAACACTTAAACGACCTTCTGAGGTCAGATCTGCTTCTCCAATTAGTAGATCTAACCTTCTAGCACCCAAAAGTCACGTAAAGGTTCGAGCTTTAGGCCCATGCATCACACTATCATCTCTATATGCCAAAATAACCCTTAATATGATAACCTAGGCCCCAAAACTCATAAATGATTGTATAAAGCTGAAGAATAGGGACTCTCTGGACCTCTCAAGGTCCAGATCTAATAACATTGTCACAAGGGGACATCACACACACTAGATCTCTTACCAAAAGTGAAGACAAGAAACCCTAGATCCATGAAATCTATTACTCAAATGAAGATAGACATGAATCCTTACCTCCCACAGCAGCTCTGAACGAAATGATGGAAGATTTGAGTCCTACAAGTCAGCCTAGCTCGAAATCCTTCCTTCCCTTTGCTAAAACACATCAAAGAATGATGAATTAGCCCTCCTTTTTCTCTACAAGCTTTCTCTCTGCTCTCTAGGGTTTCTCAGGGGTGTAGTGGCTGCAAATGAAGGCCATAAAGGCCCTTAAATAGGGCACATGCCCCAAGATTTAGGGTTTCTGCCGCCAGCACAGACCCGTCGAGTCACCTAGCCGACTCGTCGAGTCCATTCATTAATCCAGTCAGCGAATCGCGATCCTACTCGACGAGTCTAGGCGTCAACTCGTCGAGTCCCTCTCTTTAACTCAAAATAAAAGGTTAAAATAAAATACCTGGGAATCCGGATGTTACAATTCTCCCCTACTAGAATCAGACTTCGCCCTCGAAGTCTCGCTCTGCAAACAACTCTGGATGCTGCTCCCGTATCTCCAACTCTGGCTCCCAAGTCAGCTCGGACCCTCTCCGATGTTGCCACTGTACCTGAACCAGGGGCACCTCCTTGTTCCTCAGAACCTTGACCTTTCGATCCCGGATCGTGAGCGGCCTCTCAACATAATTCAGGCTCGCATCCACCTGAATATCCTCCAGCGGCACCACCGCCAACTCGTCGGTTATACACTTACTCAACTGAGACACGTGGAAGGTATCATGTATCGGGCTCAACTCCGCAGGTAGCTCCAAACAATACGCTACTCTGCCCACCCTCACGGTCACCCGAAACGGACCAATGTACCGGGGTCCCAGCTTGCCCCTTTTCCTGAATCAGATCACTCCTTTCCAAGGAGATACCTTCAGGAGAACAAAGTCTCCCACCTGGAACTCGAGCTCGGATCGTCGCCTATCCGCATAACTCTTTTGGCGACTCTGAGCTGTCAACAATCTCTGCCTGACCTGCTGTATCTGCTCTGTCGTCTGAAGCACTATCTCGATGCTACCCATCACTCGCTGCCCTACCTCTCCCCAGCAGATGGGAGTCCGACACCTCCTCCCATACAACAACTCAAAGGGGGGCATGCCAATACTCAAATGGTGGCTGTTGTTATAGGAAAACTCAGCCAATGGCAGATACGTGTCCCAACTCCCTCCGAAGTCCAACACACATGCTCGAAGCATGTCCTCGAGCGTCTGAATCGTTCGCTCACTCTGACCGTCCGTCTGTGGGTGGTAAGCGGTACTGAAATGAAGCCTCGTGCCCAACTCCTCATGGAACTTCTTCCAGGACCTGGAAGTGAAACATACATCTCAATCCGACACAATCGAGATTGGCACTCCATGCCGCGATACCACCTCCCTCACGTACAACTCTGCCAGCCTCTCCGCGAAAGAGCTCTCACTGATAGCAAAAAAGTGAGCGCTCTTCGTCAGCCGGTCGACGATCACCCAAATTGCATCGACACCCCTCGCGGTTCTTGGCAATTTGGTGATAAAATCCATAGAAATCTGTTCCCACTTCCTCTGGGAATCTCGAGTGGCTGCAACTTCCCATGCGGACGCTGGTGCTCGGCCTTAACCCTGCGACAGGTCAAGCACCTCTCAACGAACCACGCTACATCCCTCTTCATACATGGCCACCAATATTCTCTTTTCAGGTGCAAATACATCTTAATGGCCCCGGGATGGATCGAGAACCTCGACCTATGTGCCTCCTCCATCAGTATGGTACGTGCCCCGCCCACGAACGACACCCAAATCCGACCCTGAAAGGTCATAAGCCCTCTGCTATCGGTAACGAACTCATATATCTGCCCGATCACCCGCTCTCTCTTGTGGTTCTTCGGTCTCACCACCTCTACCTGGGCCCCTCGAATGGTATCCAACACCGGAGTCATCACCGTCAATCTCATACAAACGTCTCGTATCGGGGCACTCTCAGCCCTACGGCTCAGGGCGTCGGCTACCACGTTAGCCTTGCCCGGGTGGTACAGGATCTCACAATCATAATCCTTTACCACATCCAACCATCTCCTCTGGCGCATATTTAGGTTGGGCTGATCCATCAAATACTTCAAGCTCTTGTGGTCCGTGTATATGGTACACCGAACCCCATACAAATAGTGACGCCAGATCTTGAGGGCGAACACCACGGCCCCCAACTCCAAATCGTGGGTGGGATATATCACCTCGTGAGGCTTCAACTGCCTCGATGCGTACGCTATCACATGCCCTCTCTGCATAAGCACCACACCCAAACCCGATATCGACGCGTCACAATATACCACAAAGTCCTCCATCCCCTCCGGAAGGGCTAACACTGGGGCCTCGCATAATCTCTGGTGAAGAGTCTCAAATGAGGCTTGCTACTCTGGACCCCATTTGAAAGTCACGCCCTTCTGGGTCAAACAGGTGAGAGGAACGACAATCTTGGAGAAATCCCTGATAAATCTCCGATAATAGTCGGCCAACCCCAGAAAACTCCTGATCTCGGTGGGGGATCTCGACACCTCCCACTTCATCACCGCCTCAATCTTGGCCGGGTCGACCAATATCCCGCTCTGATTAATGAGATGCCCCAAGAACTGGACCTCTCGTAACCAAAAATCACACTTGGAGAATTTGGCGTAAAGCCTCTTCCATCTCAAGACTCCGAGAATCTCTCTCAAATGCTCCTCATGCTGCTCTCTGGATCTCGAGTACACCAATATATCGTCGATGAATACGATCACCGACCGATCAAACATCGGCCTACACACCCGGTTCATGAGATCCATGAACGCTGCCGGTGCATTGGTGAGCCCAAAAGGCATCACCACGAACTCGTAATGCCCATAACGAGTCCTGAACGCCGTCTTCTGGATATCCTCGTCCCGCACCCTTATATGATGATATCCAGATCTCAAATCAATCTTGGAGAACCAAGACGCTCCCTGCAACTGATCGAACATATCATCGATCCCCGGTAAGGGATAACGGTTCTTGACCGTCAACTTGTTCAACTCCCGGTAATCAATGCACATCCGGTGTGAACCATCCTTTTTCTTGACAAAAAGGATCGGCGCTCCCCACGGTGAGCTACTCGGTCGAATAAACCCCTTCCCCAACAGCTCCTGAAGCTGTGAGGATAACTCCTGCATCTCTGGCGGCGCAAGGCGATAGGGTGCCTTGGCAAAACGCGCCGCTCTCGGAACTAAATCGATGCGAAACTCCACCTGTCTCTCAGGAGGAACACCCGGCAACTCCTCGGGGAAAACGTCCGGGAACTCTCGCACTATCGGTACATCATCAACCGAACTCGGCCTCTCCGCGGCCACTCGAGAATCCATCACATAGGCTACAAACCCACTACAACCCTGCTGTAGACTCTGCCTCGCTCTAGCAGCCGAACAAAATGCTGACTCAGGACGGGTACCCTCGCCGTACACCGTAAGCACTCCCCCACTAGGGTCTCGTATGGTCACCAGCTGTCGCTCGCAGTCGATGACCGCTCCAAATCTACTCAACCAGTCCATGCCCACGATGACACATACATCCCCCATCACAATCGGGACCAGATCTATCGG